CACAAATACCAGAGATATGGAAGATATTATTACCGCCAGTCAGTGAAATCAGAGGAGGATAGTAAATAATCTTAAAATTCTATTTCAATTCAATTCACATACATTATAACATTCTAATAAGTTACTTATTTTGACTGTAGAAACACTCGTCTTATTTCCCATCTGATTGTACTTGATTGATAACACTCATATTATTATTTTCGAATGTACTTTATCTAACATTGATTTTATTCAAATGTCTGATCATCAATTTCACTCATGTATATAAATGAAGCAAGAAAGTTGGGTGAGTAGTGACTTGATATGATTACGAGTAGCTATAATTTGTGCTCAAAACGTGATCGCATCAGTTAATATAACTGTATAACATCAAAGATAGGACTTCAGGTGAACATAGATAAAACAGAGGTGATGAAAATTCCTAGGCAACACCACCAACAGCAACAACAACAGACAACAATCAGCATAAATGGGAGGAACCTGAAAGAAACAACCTCTTTTACCTACCTTGGAAGCATAGTTTCAACTAGAGGCAGACGGAACTGACGAGGATATCAAAGCAAGAATCGGTTAAGGAAGACAAGCTTTCACTACTCGCAAGTCTGTGTGGAGGTCAACAACCCTCAGCATCAAAAATAAGATCCGGATTTTCAACTTTAATGTGAAGTGAGTGCTACTATGCGGATCAGAAACTTGCACTGCACGTCATAAAGGGCATCTCAAACAAACGACAGACCTTCATTGACAAATGTCTTCGCTCAGTACTAAAGATTAGATGGCCAGAAAAGATCACCAACAAAGATCTCTGGGAGTGAATCAACCGATTGTGAAACAAATATGCAGGAATAAATGGAGATGGATTGGCTGGCCATACTCTGAGGAAACCATCAAGTGACATCACTAGACAAGCCATTGCTCGAGTGGAACCCGAAAGGGAAGCGGCGATTTGGTCGTCAGTGCAAGGGTGACTTGGAGGAGGTCATGTGAAGAGGAGATGAAAACGTGTGGGCAGACTTGGAGCCAGGTGAAGACTCTAGCAGAGAACAGAACGCAATGGAGACGCACGGCTGAAGCCCTATGTTTCTCTAGGAATTAAAGGATGCAATAATAATAAATAATAATGATAACACTGTGTGATTTTGATTGGACACTAGTAACTAGTGTGATGTGTCTAGTCCTCTGTTTTGTATAAACTGAGTTCTATCAGTCAGGTGCAGCACTGGGTGACGCGGGTTTGAATCTCAGAAGGGATATGAGTTCCTTCAACATTGAATGCAGATATGCCTTGTTGACTGGTGAGTGCCAACTAGCACAAAACCTAGCTCCAAGGTTTCCCGTGGCCGATTGCCTCCAAATATCTAATATCACTGCGTAATTTATCAAAATAAAATCTTATCTATAATGTTTTTTTATTAATTTACAAGTATATTCCAAATCTAGTTGAGGCAAAGCTGCTTCCTGCGGCCGATTGCCTTCAATAATCTAATACACACTCTGACATTCTGTTTGACATCTTTTTTTAAGATTTGGTTGGTATTCTGTCTGCACAGTCATAATGACTAATTATTTATCAGAGTTGATTTAAGCCTGATCATCTCAGTCAAGCGTAAATAGTGTACTGCAATCAAAGACAAAATCCTTTTATTCTCTGTCTCATCTGATTAGTAATTTCATCATCAATCATAAAGTGGATTAATCTAGTGCATCTTTTTTCTTTCGTTCTTTCATGAATTGTCCTTTATTACATAATAATAATAATGTTGTTCTAATAATCACATTGTGTATAGTATAAATATTCTGATTAAGAGTATTCTAGTTCAGGGGATTGTGTATTCTCTAAGGTCTAGGTGATTTAACTTGGCAGCTAAGCAGACTTCATTTTACTCCTTCTTCAAGACAACCTGTTCAGCGTTAAATTAAAAAAAAAGGTGAAATGAGCGTAATAAACTGTCACTTCTGATTATCTTCAACTTGGATTGGCTTTTTATTTTATTTTTTTTTCTATTTACTGGCTTTGATATCGATTATTTTATTGATCGAGAAGATAGGAATACTTTGGATTGACCAATAAGAACACTCTATCTAGAAGATCTGGATTTCGTACGTGGATGATTTATGTTTATTTTTGATTGAACACTAGTCAGTAACTAGTGTAATGTGTCTAGTCCTATCTTCGGTGCAGATTGAATTCTATCAGTCATGTTTGCAATGTGGCCACCATGCTAGGTGGCTCGCCATTACGGTGCACTGTGAATTGTTGGTATAAGATGGTTGGAGGCAATCGGCCACAGGAAGCCTTGGACCTAGGTTTCGTGCTAGTTGGCACTCGTCAGCAAGGCGTATCTGCAACCTTGAAGGAACTGATGTCCCTTCTGAGATTCGAACCCGCATCACCCAGTGCTGCAGTCAGAGACGTTACCACTGAGCTATTCAGGCTCGCGACTGACCTCCTGTAGGACTGTATTGGATATTTTTGATTGAACACTAGTCAGTAACTAGTGTAATGCGTCTAGTCCTATCTTCGGTGCAGATTGAATTCTATCAGTCATGTTTGCGATGTGGCCACCATGCTAGGTGGCTCGCCATTACGGTGCACTGTGAATTGTTGGTACTAGATGGTTGGTTGGTTGGTTATGTTTAATGTCACATACACGCACAAACTCGAAGAGTAGAAGGGGCTAGTAGGCAGCGAAGACAGGTCATCAGGTGAACATATAAAAAACGGAGGTGATGAAGATAGCCAACCAGCACCAATCACCATCAACGGGAGAAATTTGACAGAGGTTACTTCCTGCCTTCATTTGTCTATCCAGGAACGACGGTTTCAACCCTAGGCAATCAGCCAGAATCGGAAAGGCAAGATACGCTTTCATCAACCTGAAGCCAATTCGGAAATCTGTACTCAGCCAGCAAGAAGAACAGGATTCGGATTCTGTTCAACAAAAATGTGAAGTCAGTCAGTCACTGCTTCTATACGGGTCAGAAACTTGCACTGTGTGTCACGAGAAGCATTTCCAACAACTGCCACCTTCTCTCTCTCTCCATAGTGAAGATCAAATGGTCGGCAAACCGGCCAGAAAGAATGAGCAACAAGAAACTCTGGCTGAGAACAAAAGAACTAGGAGCCGATTGCTGAACAAATACGTAGGAAAAAAATGGAGATGGATGGATAGAGTATATGTTGAGGAGACCATTGAATGACGTCGCACTCAGTGCAGGTCATTGCTCGATTGGAATCCCAGTGGGTAACGACAAGTGGATCCTCGGTGAGAGAGTGACATGGGGGAGATCGTGTATTGGGTAGGAGGAGATGAGAGATTATGAGTAATTGTGGAGCTAGCCAGCTGAAGGGGACAACAGAAAAGAGAAGAAAGTGGAGATGTGTTGTCTGATGCCTTCTAGGCGAGGACGCTGACAAAATGCAAAGTCTACTGAACTCCTTGAGCAACAATCTTCGTATGTTTGGCATGCGATTCGCCCCTGTAAAATGTAAGATGATGTTGCAGGATTGGACTTCACCGACCCCTAGATTAGAAATAGGAAGTGAAGTGGTAGAGCACGTTGACCGCTTCACTTACTTGGGAAGTACCATCAGCCCCAACGGGTTGATCTCTGACTAAATCTCAGCACGAATACAGAGGGCTAGTTTCGCATATGCCAGTTTACGCCGTCTCTGGCGTAGACGTGATATCCAACTATCGACCAAAGGGCGTGTGTACTGCTCAACAGTCCGCTCCGTCCTCCTTTATGGCTGGCTGTGAGACCTGGCCATTGAGAGTGGGAGACATGAAAAGTCTGATTAGCTGTCTTTGATCATAGGTGTCTGCGTTCTATCTCCCGTGTGAAGCGGAATATTAGGGTAAGCAATACTGAGGTTAGACTAGACTTCCGTCGAGTGCTAGGTAAGGAGGGGAAATCAGTCGACGAGACTGTGAAATTACATCGACTGAGATGGTTAGGACATGTGTTAAGCATGCATGCCTAGTCATCGCCTTCCTCGACAATGGGCAATGTTAGCTGATATAGGGTCAGGCTGGAAAAGAGCTAGCGGCGGTCAGACGAAAACATGGCACCAGTCAATGAAATCCACAACAGTCAGTCTAAGCCACGTAGGAACGTGTAGACTTCCTGACTGGTTGGTTGGGGTCCTCGGGACGGTAAAAACCAATGATTGGAAACAATTTGTGACATGGCTCAAAATCCTCGTTCTCAAAGCATAGCGCAGATGCATCCACTCCTTGTGACTTATGATTTCCAATGAAACTGTTTTGTTCTTCGTTATTACTATACCTTTGTCTCACACCTCTGTTTACTGTCTATATTATGCATGTCTTCTACTTTCTTCTCTTGATTTGTGTGCTACATGGAGGGAGAGTGGCGACTTGAACTTCCACACATCGGTGCAAAGTTCAATGTCGAAAATAGACAAACAGACAGGCACTCGAGGGGCTTATTTGTATAGCGATATCCAGTAGTGGTGGGCTAGCAAAGGCAGGTACAGCTGTTGATATATATTTGCTTAAATCTTGTTTATATATACTACAAATCTTCATTAACAGCTAGCTATCTTCGCTCAATACTGCTCAAGACCAGATGGCCGACCAGAAAACAACAGCAACAGGGATCTGTGAGAGCCAACCGACCAGAAGCCGACTGTGCAACAAATATGCAGGAAGAAATGAAGGTGGATTGGCAATACCCTGAGAAAACAAACCGTCACCAAGTGAGTGACATCACGCGCGAGGTCATCGGTCGAGTTTAACCCGAATGGGAACCGGCGAGTCAGTTGGTCGTCAGTGCGAGGTGGTTGACCTGCAGGAGGTCATGTGAAGAGGAGATGATGAAAGCATGTAGGCAGATGTAGAGCCATGTGAAAATGTTTGCGGAGATGTGCGACTGAAGCCCTGCGTTGCTCTAGGAACTAAAGGAGACAATATTGTTTATTTATTGGTAATTACATTAGTTATATATATTTGTGTTTTTCTCTTATCTATTTTCAGCGAAACCCGTCTAAATGATCCACAGTCATTGCCTATGATTCGCAGAATCTATATCTATGCCAAAGACATCATACCATTACAAATCAATTACACTCGTGAAAATATTATTCTAGGTGAAAACGACACTCACGATTACCAATCTTCAATGATTCTTCTCCATTTAAGTCAGCTATCTACCTCTACGCTTTCTGAAATCATCAATAATAACGCGTCTTCTAGTGTAATACCTGAAGAAATTCAAATTCCTTTATGCTCATATGTATTTACTGGCAAATCGATCAATCATACTAATGATCCGGATCATAATCATGATCCGAATACTATCATCCACCATCATTTAACATTTACTGGTTCTCTAGCCTATCGATGGTATTCCAACTTTCATATTGGTAAGGAATATCACTTGACATGGCGGAGAGTTCCTACTGCTTTTGGAACTCCCTCCCCGCCGATGTCATCTTCACAATCCTCTGAAATTTATCAATTGACAAATGTCTCTGTAATGATTCACCAATCAAATATATCCATGATTGTTGATGATGATGATAACGATGACGAGGAGGAGAGGGAGGAAAATGCTGCCATACATTGTATTAAATTAAATGATATTTTAAATTCTCCGCCAAAAAAGATTGATTCAATGTTCAATTTTGAGGGTGTACTTTTGTTTAAATCGTATTGTACATTGAACAAAGTATGGACAGTATGGATGACAGATAAATTATTAAAATTAAATAATAATAATGATAATAAAGAAGATATATATGAATGTGGAATTGTCCATCAAATACAGATATCCAACAATAACAATAATATTAATAATAATCACGATCATTTGAAGAAGTTCCTTATGCATAATCCTGGCGAAATTCTACCCAATTATTATAAATTTGTAAATTTTATTTTAACGCCGCCTGTTTCCTCAACATCAATGTTGTTATACTGCATAAATGTGATGTGTACACCCTCCTCACGGATAATTATGAACGAAAGTGAGCATTATGTACTCTTCAAGGATGTAAATAATGATACGCTATTTTTAGACATGATGAATATATCATTAGTGGAAGAAGAGAAGAATAACACTGAGAGTTTAATGCCGATTGTAGAGAATAGCAATCATTTCGATTGGATCAATAATGGAGGAGCAGGAGGTGGTGGGGGAGATCATGGATCTGTAACCAAAGAATGTATTACTGTACAGGCTACAATTTTACGATGTTTAGAATTTCAGATATATCGTTCGCCCAATATTAACGGTGAGTGAGTGAGTGAGTTAGTTAGTTGGTAAAGACTTTTTATTCAAGTGCTGGTTTGTAGGGATTTGATTGGTTACAGGATTTTCGTCATGAGCTGACATTAGTTAGAGAACCATTGGAAAACCTGGGAGTACTGGGCAGCTGTTTCGTCCTAGTTTGGGACTCTTCATCAGTACGTGCCCACCGGGATTCGAACCTAGGACCTTCTGGTCACAAGGCGAGCTCGTATACCATTAAGCCACTGGAACCCGATCCAATGGCCAGTCCATGAATTCTAACTTCTGCCAATTCACGACGTAGCGCGACCCCTAGCCTATGTCTTCGGCGAGTATTTGTCCTCACACCCGACCTGCTGCATTAAGAAGTTAAGACACTCAGGCATAACCCAACCAACCCCTACTCCTCTTACAGTTTGTTTGTCAACTCGTGTATTTTACCTATTCTTCTTTACTGTTCACTCCTGCTTATTCTTTCCTGGATTGCTTAAAAAAGACTCTATCATACTTCGTAGAACTCTGAAGACTGTCGGTCAGTAGGACGAGTGGTATCCCATTGAGCCATATCGTTGACATTGTCATTGATGATAGGCACTTGATGTCATGCAACAAATTTGCTAAAAGAATTTTGTCAGACTGTGAGCATCCACTTTACTTTCCCGCAGCTCCAACCTTGTGTCTCCTCCTCAGGTAAAACAAGTTTTTTCAGAAGACTTTGTGCACGTACGTCTAAGTATAAAAATTCCAGTATACCATATTTGACGGCACACACTTTATGTGATGAAAATAGTGTTAGGCATGAACTAACCTTCTTTGGACTACTAAATAAACCATTTCCTCCAGCCTTACAACATCAACCTTTATTGTTATTTTGTTTCTTATATTTATAATCCTCTCAATTTTTTGTTTTTGGTTATTTTTGTCATAAGTGTGAACATCATTTAAGCTGTTTTATAACTGTCAATTTTTGTATTTCCCCTCACCGTACGATTTCAACAGAACATTAGATCCAATAATCTATAACATGCTAAAATTTCCAAACTGAATCGACAATACTTTTTGAAACAAACTCACTGTTATTATTATTATCATCATTATTATATTTAATATTCTCAATTTGTGCTTCGAATATTTTTGACATTATATCGTAAACGTGGACAAATTCCCCTGGTTAATTTTGTTTATATTTTGAGTAAATTAGATGTAATATTGTGACAAGTGCTGGGAATTCCATTCTGTATTATGAGTACTGTTTTTGGAATAAAGGAGATTATTATTATTTTTTACGAGTTGATCACGGACTGATATCAGCTAGACAACCGTTGTAAACCAGGGAGTACTGGACAGCTGCTGTTTCATCATAGTTCGGGAATCATTGGCAGTACGCACCCACCACTGGGGTTCGAACCCAGGACCTTCTGGTTACAAGGCAAGCTCGTTTCCCTGGTTTTCAATGTTTCTCTAACTGATATCAATCCGTGATCAACTCGTAAAAACAAAACTAACCCTTACAAACCAAACTATAGAATATTATTATTATTTTTTTTCCTCTTAACAAGTGATATCACCAAGAAATTGATATCGTTGTCATTAGTTGGAGAGTTATTGAAAAATAACCACCATGGGGTAGGAGGGGGAGGAGTACTGTGGACGGACAGTTTTTATCTTTTTCGGACTCTCCAACAGTGTGAATCCCTACCTCTGAGGACGTTACGACGGCAAGGCTAATCAGCTTTTTCAACCTCCGCTCTAACTGATGTCAGATCATGGTCGAATTAATTTGAAATTGATTAAATATCTACACAGTGACAAAATGAACGTTTGGATATCATCCTAGGCGTGTGTGTGTTTCAATTTAACATATAGATTAAAGAATTATGATTATTTTCTATAGTTGGTTTGTGGTGCGTCGGTGGTATAGCGGTTAGGACGCTTACTGACCATGCACATGGTCCGGGGTTCGATCCCCGGGCGACTTACTCCATTACCTCGCTTAGCCAGAAATAAAAAGCTGGTGAAGAGGAAAGGTTGTACATGAGGCTAGCAACCGCATCCTGTAAAAATAAACACTGCTACAGAAACTTCAAGCCACTAGCTTGAAGCCCTATGTTCCACTGAGGAACGTGAACGAAAAAAAATTAGACATACAAAGGACAGTGAATCTACTACGATTTCCTGAAGCAATTGCAATCAAAAATCTCAGACGAAACTTATGCACACAGAAAGAGAGTGTGTAGTCGATCTCTCACTCCCTTTGGGAACCGTATTACTTTCATTACACTGATTAGTCATGAACACTAGTGGGCTCAGTTCACTAAGCAAGTTTTCAAATTGATGAACTTTAACCTTTTTGAGTTACCATGTTGACGTACAAGCTAACACTGTTTATTAGATTTTTCTGTTTTCTATCTTCTCTCAAAACCCTCCTTCTTTTTTTCATAGTTTGATAGCATATAAATTGATGGTAACTTAAACTAAAGCATAACTGTAATACTTATATTGCTTTGTCTAAACGATTTATCTTCAAGCCACTAGCTTGAAGCCCTATGTTCCACTGGGGAATGTGAAGGAAAAAAAATTAATAGTTGGTTTGTAAAGAATAGTTTTGTTTCTACGAGTTGATCACGGATGGATATCAGTTAGAGAAGCATTGAAAACCAGCTGGGAGGGGGAGGACTGGACAGCCAGCTGTTTCATCAGTCTAGTTTGGAGAATCATCGTCAGTACTCACCTACCTCCAAGGTTCGAACTCAGGACCTTCCGGTTACAAGTCAAGCTAGCTCGTATACTATTCAGTCAATGGGACCCGATTCAATGGCCAACCGGTCGTCCATGAATTCTAACTTCTACCAATTCATGATGCATCTAGTGTGACTGGCACCAACCAGTGTCATCGGTGGGATATCCATCCTCATTAAATTGACTGGATGAACCTCACTGGCCACAACTTCTCACTAGAACTCACTCCACTCTAGTTAATGACTCGGCGCTCTATGTTACTTAACCGTCTTTATTAGCCTGTTGAAAATGCTTTCTGTGATGCTTATTCCAAGTATGTGTACCACATAGAAGAAGTGATGGGTTTGATATTAGTGCCGACTTGTTCTTCAATGCTGAATTCAGTGCAGTATGGATTTCAAAACTGATTTCAGACTGATGAAGATTTGTCTTACCTTTCCATCAGCCCCAACGGGTTGATCTCCGAAGAAATCTCAGCGCGAATACAGAGGGCTAGGTTCGCATATGCCAGTTTACGCCGTCTCTGGCGTAGACATGACATCCGATTATCAACCAAAGGGCGTGTGTACTGCTCAACAGTCCGCTCCGTCCTCCTTTATGGCTGTGAGACATGGCCATTGAGAGCAGAAGACATGAAAAGATTACCTGTGTTCGATCATAGGTGTCTGCGTTCTATCTTCCGCGTGAAGTGGCATAATAAGGTGAGCAATATTGAGGTTAGACTTTCATCGAGTGCTAGGTAAGGCGGGGAAATCAATAGACGAAACTGTGAAATTACATCGACTGAGATGGTTAGAACATGTGTTACGTATGCCTAGTCATCGCCTTCCTCGACAATGGGCAATGTTGGCTGATATAGGGTCAGGCTGGAAAAGAGCTAGCGGCGGTCAGACGAAAACATGGCACCAGTCAATGAAATCCACAACAGTCAGTCTAAGCCACGTAGGAACGTGTAGACTTCCTGGCTGGTTGGGGTCCTCGGGACGGTAAAAACCAATGATTGGAAACAATTGGTGACATGGCTCAAAATCCTCGTTCTCAAAGCATAGCGCAGATGCATCCACTCCTTGTGACTTATGATTTCCAATGAAACCGTTTTGTTCTTCGTTATTACTATTCCTTTGTCTCACACCTCTGTTTACTGTCTATATTATGCATGTCTTCTACTTTCTTCTCTTGATTTGTGTGCTACAAGGAGGGAGTGTGGCGACTTGAACTGCCGCACATCGGTGCAAAGTTCTATGTCGAATACCGACCGACCTTTCCAATGCTAACTGGTTCAGGCATCTTTTATCTGTGCTGCATTTAGTTGAAATAATGCTGTCTAAATAAGTGAAGATAGCGACGTCATTCAAATTCCTGCTTTTGGTAGTGTTTACCACTCCACTTATTCTGGGAGTACCATCAGCTAATGCCAGCGTGTTGATCGCTGACGAAAGTTCAGCACGCATACAGAAAGTTTGTATGGCATATGCCGATTTACGCCATCACTGGCTTAGCAGATGTGATATCCAGCTGTTGACCAAAAGGCGTACGTACTGTTCAGCAGTTTGCTAGATTTTATTGGCCATTGGATTGTTAGGCAATGGGTATCTGTTTTGAATATGAACACCTGATTACGTTGAGGTCCCCTGAATTCTCAGTCTTCAGTGCACTGAAGCGTTGTAAAATACAACAAGACGTATGGTCCAATTTTTCTTTACATCATACTGATTCTCAACGACATCCAACTGAAAAACGTTATTTTTTTTTGTTATAATTATTTTCAAAACAGCTGTGTCACTTTTGAAACTTATTTCAATATCATTGTGATAAGTAGGTTTATTTCAGGATTTCATTATGAACTGACATCGGTTAAAGGACCATTGGAGAACTACCAGGGAGTACTGGAAGCCAGCTGTTTCGTCAGCCTTGTTTGCGACAGACTCTCCATCAGTACGCACCCACCGCCACGCTAGGGTTCGAACCCAGGACCTTCCAGTTACAAGGTGAGCTAGCTCATAGACCATTAAGCCACTGCGGCCCGACCGAATGGCCGGTGGGTTAATTCCAAGTTCTACCATTTCAGGATATAACGCGACCACTAGCTGATTTCATCGGTGGAGAGTATTTGTCCTCACACCCGACCTACTGTACCCCACTCAGTGGTTACGACTTCTCACTAGAACCCTGGTAACTACCTACATGAATAGGGCCAATCACTAGCTTCCCATTGGAGTTCCACTCTAACTAATGGCCTAGTGCGCGATGTTACTCAACGGTCTC